GAGGGAGCTACTCCGGACTCCACCTCAAGACGCTCGATTCGAGTCACTTCAGGGCCCCAAGACACACACGCAAACGAGCATTCTGAACTTCCAAACGTTTCAAATTTGAGTTTGATGCCGAACCATACACAACTGAATCGTAATATACTTCAGAGCTAATCAGGGTTTTATATATCATTAGCAAATATTTTCTATCAACTCCCATTTATTACCATATATGCGCTTTAGTAGATTAAATGCTTTTGGACATCTATTCTCTAATTGACTAATGTTTAATCAATTTCCAGTTTAATCAACGAGCAAAGAGGAGACCAAGAAATTTAGCTGAATTTTGAAGAGGTATTGGGTGGTTGTCTAGAGTTAGCTTGTTCGACATCCTCCTATGTGAAAAAATAAACCCCAATACTCTTTCCTGTTGAAAACTTAAAACCCCACTGGAGGTCCCAGTTCTGAATCATATGCAGTTCCATTTGGATGCGCTATGCTATGAATTCTGCAATATTGCTAAAATTCCGTAATACAAAATCAGCAGAGTATAGTGAGTATTTACGATTCCGAGAGGGAGCCGCTAAGATGTCGTTAATCATAAACTGAAATAATGCTGGTGACAACAAGCTTCCTTGTGGGACCCCGTTTGCTTGGACAAAGAGTCCGAAAAAGTGACATTGTCAGCAAATAAATTGAAAGAGAAGGTTCTGTCAGAAATTAAATTTTTTAATAAAACAAGTCTCCATGTAATACAATAGCAGAAAATTTTCTAAGTAAGCCATATCGCCATGTCATGCCGTAGGCTTTTTAAAATACTGAAATATAAAAATGTCTTTTGGCAATTGCCTCTTGAATGTGACTCTAGTTTTACTAGATGATCGAGAGATTGATGTCCCTTCGGAAGCCGCACTGCTCGTCGACTATTAAATTACTGGAATTAAAAAAGGAGCAATATCCTCCTATTAACAATTCCTTCCATAACCATGCATAAGCAACTTATCAACGCAATTGGTCGGTTGGAGATGGCTGATCTGGAATTTCCCCCTCCTTTTAATATGGGAATGATGTAATGCAATTCCGTTGAGATGGCTGATACTTAACATGGCGTCATGATTAAGATGCTTTATCATCTCATATCGAATCCCATCGGGGCCTGGGAACGTTTCTCCACAGACTTCTAGGACTCGTAGCTTATCTATTGTAAGATCTTGTAATCAAAGTCAACGGTGCAAAGGGTATTTGTTGTAGTTCAACCGCTTCCTTGTGACAGGAATGCAGGATGCATTTATCTGAGCTGCAAATATATGAAAAACTGCTGGTGAGTGGTGTTTCAAGGTTGTTTCCACATGGATGATGTTTTTAATTATGCAGAATGCCTTTTTCGTATTAATTTTATTAACAGTAGACCAAACCTGTGATATTGCGGTGTTGCTATTGATTGTAGAGACAAGGCTCTGCTAGGAGTCTTTTTGTTTGTCTAATCGTTCTTAGAGCCCTAGCTCTTGCTAGTTTGTAGTTGCGAAAGTTCTCATTATTGATGCTGTTTTTGACAAGTCTGTAGACCCTATTGCCTTCACACAGCGTCCTGCGGCAATCTGGTGTCCACAATGGAACTTTATTCTTAACGCTATCTGTCTGTCTATAAGTCTTACGAAGAGATAACATTGCTGCTTCTGAAATACAATTTTGAACATTGTTTACTTTATCATCAATGGTTTCTCTGACACGTTCGAGCTTGACGCTCCTTGTACAGGCGACCAAGTCTGCTCTTTTTAGGCTAAATATAGGTGTTGAGGCGTTCCTGCTGTGTCATATGATTATTCACTAGAAATGGGGAAAATGATCGCTTCCCAACGAGTTGTCAATGGTGTGCCACAGACA